GGGGTGTCCACTCACTCAGGCACCCCTATAGTCACCAGAATGAGGTGCTCAGACAGCAAGGGACCAATAAACAGATACAAAAAGAAAAGAATGTCCACACCTTTATCTCCATGGTTCTGTCAGGCATCCGTCGCTGCTCTGATCCTTCCCCCACTTGGTCTCACCCAAGATGGTGGCTCTGGGAGCAGCTGAGCATCTTGAATTAGAAAGCAATGGATTTCTTGCTTCTGCTACCAATTTCCCTACCTGTTAGCCTTCCAACCTTCTAAATATTCCTTTATATGTGATTCAGAGTTCTGGCACCATCCTCTGAGCCTGCTTGGACCGGTATTCTGTGTTGTTGCTGGCGGAGCTCCTCATTGCACTTCCACCCGAGTCGCCATCTTGTTTGTTCTCTCAATACATCTTGATTGCATGCTTAATCAATATCAGATAGAAGAAGTTGGTAGAATTCTTCAAACTCATCATCACTGGCTTTAGTGGTTGGTGCATAAATTTGAATAATAGTACTAACTGATCTGACTTGTATGTGCATAAATATTGTCCTATCACAGACAGCATTGTACCTCATGACAGATCTTGAAATGGTCTTTTGGATGTTGAATGCGACACCATTCCTCTTCAATTTGTCATTCCCAGCATAGTAAGCCATGTAATCATCAGATTCAAAATGGCCAATAGCTGTCCATTTCAGCTCACAAATGCCTAGGATATCGATGTTTATGTATCCCACTTCATTTTTTGACAACTTCCAATTTTCTTAGATTCATACTTTGTGTATACCATGTTAATGGGTGTTTACAGCTGTTTCTCCTCATTTTGAGTTGTGCCCCATCAGCAAATGAAGGTTCCAAAGGCTTTACTTCATTCGTGTCATCACAATCAACTCTACTTTGAGGAGGCAGCTCTTCCCCAGTCTCATTTTGAGTGCCTTCCAACCTGAGGGCACTATATCTGAAAATATTCTGGTGCTCTTCATCATGTTTCAATATTCAATATTCTGGTGTTATCTAACAGAATACTGCTCAGTTTCCTCTCCCAGCAAGTCTTCAATCCGCTTCTCTAATATTTCCTCTGAATTCAGGGTCCCAGGAGTTTCATCTGTGGGTTTCATTTGGTCTCTCATCTCTTGATTGTAGAGGAGCTATCTGTGTAGTGCATCTGCTGAGTGTGTCATATTGCCGCCCATTTGATTTCCTGACTGTGGATCCAAATAAAATGAAGTCTTTCACAATTTCAATATTTTTTTGTCTTCTTTACATTAAGATGTAGTCCATACTGAAGGCTGTGGTCTTTGATCTTCATCGGTACGCGTTTGAAGTCCTCTTAGCTTCCAACAAGCAAGGTTGTATCATGTGCATATTACAGGAAAAGCTACTGGGACAAGCTTGGATGAACTGAAAAGCTAATGCACGCCGACTCGTGAGGACCCATATGCTGTGTAGCAGAGTAGAACTGTGTTCCACGGGGTTTAAAGTGACTGATTTTTTTAAAGTATATCAGGCCTTTCTTATGAGGCTCCTCTGGGTAGGTTCAAAAAGTTACCAAGTCAGTGAACCATTTGTGTGTTGGTACTAAACAAATGAACAACAACAACAAAAATTGTCAAGTCAATTCTGACTCCTGTGGCCCCATGTCATTAAAAGTAGAACAGCTCTGTAACATTTTCATGGCTGCTG